ATGTCAGGCTCTCTGCTGGCAGCACAGAGCCTGAAGCCTGTTTTGGATTCTGTGTCCCTCTCTCTCTGCCCCTTGCCCACTCATGCTCGCACGCGCTCTCTCAAAAATGAGTGAACGTTTAAAAAAATCAAAATTAATTACAAAAAATAAAAACTAAGTAAAGGATAAAAGACTTAAAGAGCAAAAACCATAAACCTCTTAGAAGAAAACACAGGGAAAATCTTCATAACGTTGGATTTAACAAGATTTCTTGGACAGGACACCAAAGCAGGATTCTTTGCTTAGCAAATGTGTCCTTCAAGAATGAAGATGAAATTAAGACATTTTCAGATTAAAAAAAAAAAGGAAAAGGACAGGAAAAGATACAGCATGCAAACGCTAACTGAAAGCAACCTTGTGAGGCTATATCAATAACAAAATTTAAAAATGGACATTTTAATAACAGAAACATTTAATAAAAGATCCCATTGACCAGGAAAATTTTGGGCTCAAAATCTGTAAAGCAGAAACTAATGGAATTACAAAAATAAAAACAAATCCAGAGAGTAATTTTAACATACCTCTCTTAGTAATTGATAAAAACAAGCAAAAACCTCAGGAAGAATACAGATATTCGAACCCAATCAGCAAATCTGACTAAGGACCAAATGGCACACAGTACTTAACTACCTGAGAATCCACATTCTTTGCAGACACACAGAAAATTTTCCAAAAATCGGACCATTTGCAAGACTCAACAGACCTCCAAGGACTGAAATAACAGACTGTGTTCCTTGACTAAGATGAAATCCGACTGGATATTAACAATAACTTAATTTTTTAATAACTAGAAAAGCACTCACATATTTGAAAAAAATTTTTTAATATCTCACCTCTACAAAAGTCAGCCCAGAAACCAGATTTCAAACGGTCTCTTTCGTGCCCAGAAGTTTTCTGCACCTGGGAACAATGCACTGAGCTAAGACCCCAAGCTGGTGCAAGGTGTGCCTTCAAGCAGAAGGGCAACTGCGAACAGGGAGATGAGAAAGGAACACCTACCCTCCTGCCCCTGGTATGTTCATACGGAAAGGAGTTTCAGGAGAGAATAACACACAGAGGGTGAAACCTGGAAACTGATTCCTGTAGGACTATCCGGGCCTTAGAAAGTCTCTGCGCATGGCAGACTGAAGACTGCAGATCAGTGGAGGGAAATACCAAAACGGAGACAATATAAAACCTCTGAGGGATTTTAAGCAGGTGCAGGTGAAATACCAGCTGGAACGAATTTAGAGGCTGCTTTCTGGAAGCAGAGCATGACACAGCTGTGATTTTCCACCCTAGATGCACAGCAGAGCCAGCTGGGGAGCTCAGAAATCTTAATGCCCTGACCCTCCCCCGGGCCAATTAAATCAGAATCACTTGGCCATCATAGAGCATTTTACAGTTAGTGGTTTCCATGTCCTTGCTTGCAACAAGTGGAAGGCAGAGCTGATCCAATAGTCAACTGATACATCATCAAACATTTTGATGAAAGATTGCTACATGATTTTGAGCTTATAAACCAACAGAAGTTTAAAATATTGAGTGGCCCTGCTATAACAAACCCCCCCTGCATCTCCATCTACTATTTAAGTGAACACAGATTCTCAGCATTCACATCTATAAAAACAAAAAGAAGTGGTGCTGAGGCCTGTCTCGTTCTGACAATAATATCCATCCAGACAGGGGTGGGGGACAACAGTTTATTGAGATGCATTTCAATAAATGTTTACTTTTACAATAAGTATCTCAAAATTGTGTAATCAATTTATTTTGACCAACTGTGTATCAATACTAATCGTAACATCCCACCCAAATATTAAAACTTAGTTTCAAGGTCCCAACAAAGTTAAAAGGTTAATTTTTTCGAATTTATTTTTATTTTAGAGAGAGAGAGAGAATGGGGGAGAGGGGTAGAGGAAAAGAGAGACAGAGAATCTTAAGCAGACTCCACATTCCCTCTGCACAGAGCCCAACGCAGGGCTCGATCCCACAACCCTGGGATCATGGCCTGAGTGGAAACAAAGAGTCAGATACTCAACTGAATGAGCCACCCAGGTGCGCCCAATGTTAAAAGGCTTAAATTATTACACTTATTTTAGGTCCAGAAGATAGAACAAGCTAATCAAGAAGTTTTCAAGCATTAAATATATGCATAGGATAAAATTCTGTGTGGGCAGAAATGAAAATACAAATTAAATTTTAAAAACTGAGGTATAATTTGGGCTGATTCACAGTGTTTAAAAGGCATAATGGATACCAAGTTGAAATATTTAGATTCCACCGAATATACTTAAGAGTAATGAACAGCTTTATTTTAAAATGGCAATATTTTAAATATGCTAGAAACGACATCCTTTGCAAATATTTAAACTTACGATAAGTAATTTCGGAAATGAACTTTTTTTTTATGTTTTTTTTTTTTTAATTTCTAGGAGAGAGAGAGAGAGAGAGAGAGACAGCGTAAGCAGGGGAGGGTCAGAGAGAGAGAGGGAGTCACAGACCGAAACAGGCTCCAGGCTCTGAGCTGGCAGTCAGCACAGAGCCCGACGCAGGGCTCGAACCCACGAACCGAGAGATCATGACCTAAGCGAAAGTCGGACGCTTAACCGACTAAGCCACCCAGGTGCCCCGGATATGAACTTTTAAAAAGCGCAAGAAGATATACACTTTCAGACAGTACATCAGCCAGAAAAGGTTAAGCACCACCTCTGCAGCCTCCACACAAGGCTCCTCAAGATGGGGCCCATCAGGCCCTTGGGCTTCTCCCTATGTCCTGTGCTCCAGCCACTAGACTCGAGACTTCACCTTGGGACCACTACATGGTCTGGACCTCTCTGTTGAAACACAGCAGAAGCTGTGTTCTCTCTGTTTAGGCAACAGCAGATGCTTAGGAGGGTTTGCTAATTCAGCCCCTCTGGGGGCAGACAACAAAGAAAAGTCCAGAAAGCACTTCTCCTGCCCAGTAAAAGAAGAGGTGGTTCTTGGGAAACACTAGGCAGAAAATTTTAATAGTTCCAAGCAATTTCTTTTAAGATTTACAGGAAACACTCCAACCTTTTAAGAATATCCGCAGGGCCAAATAGGAAAGGTCCTAGAACTGAATGGGGAAGTGGGGAAAGGATAATAATTATATTCCAGCCTGAAAATCTGATGAAGTGCAGAATCCTCTCAGCCCTGTGACATCGCCACACCACTGACATGACAATGCCAACCAATAGTTCTATACAACCATAATTAAGTTACTTGTAACTGAACCAATTTCTAACAGTTCTAGCCCTATTTGTACCTTGCTTAAAAAATAAAAAATTTAGGGGCGCCTGGGTGGCTTAGTCGGTTAAGCGTCCGACTTTCGCTTAAGTCATGATCTCGCGGTTCGTGGGTTCGAGCCCCACGTCGGGCTCTGTGCTGACTGCCAGCTCAGAGTCTGGAGCCTATTTCAGAGTCTGTATCTCCTTCTCTCTCTGACCCTCCCCTGCTCACGCTGTCTCTCTCTCTCCTAGAAATAAAATTTAAAAAAATATAAAAATATATATAAAAAAATAAAAAATTTAATGCTATACTGAACTCACTTCCATAAAAAAATGTAACACTACATTCAAACTTTTTAAAATTATCCATAAGCCTTAAGACAGAATAATGTGACAGAATGTGACTCGGGGGAGATTAGGTAGTTAATGAAATACTGAGTGGGTGGCACTCAAGCAGAGACATACCAGATGAGAAAGAACCAGGCATGAAGAGCCAGGAGGCAGTGTCCCAGACAGAGGGAACAACAAGTGCAAAGATCCTGAGGCAAGAAGGCAGCCAGAGAGGCTGGAACAAAATTACTAGAATGAAGGGAGATGCCAGGCACCAGGGGCCAGACTGTATAGACATATGCTTGTTTATCCCTTGACAGGAGACCCCAGACTCTGAGGATCAGAGTGAAAACTGAAGAAAGTAACCCAGATGCCCCTAGCAAAGGAGAGGAGGAGCGAAGAGACAGGCAGATGAGGCAACACAAGGATGGCACAGTCTCCCAGAACGGACCAAAGAACAGGGTAGAGAAAACTAGGACAATGGCCAACAGCTTAAGCCATGGGAAGAGTTGGAATCAGGCAGGCTGAGGCAGCGGCAAAGTCTGCCCCAAGCTGTGACCCAGCCCAAAATTATTCCCCTTTCACCCCTTTCCTGACCTCGACTTCCTCAGTGTGGAGTCTGTGTAGCAATTTATCTTGGCCACTGATTATGTAGGACATGACAGTGACACGTGAGGTTCCCTAACCTCTGGAGCAAAAGTCACAGAAATTAAAACTGCCCACAAGTCCAGCTCCTCTATACCATTGATGACAAGACCATCAGTGAAGTGCTGGGGAAATGGATGGAGTCTGCAAGTATTTCCAAGGGATTCCTCCACTGTCCAGGGGCAGGGGGTCAAGTGTAGCAAGTGAATTGCTGGACTTCAATATCAGAGGGATCAGAATTTAAATGCTTATATCATTCACTGTGTTAGCTCGGCATAAAGCCACAACAGCCATCTATTTCAGACAGCCTGTTTGAGAATTAAATGCAATTAAATCATATAAGGCCAGTGCCTAACACACTTAAACTACCCAATAAAGATTCTGTTCTTTCCATTTATCCCACTATTGAGTTCAATTCAGACAGCCTGAGAACATCACTGCTTACTAGCTCTTCGACTTTGAGAAAGGTACTTTCAACTCTAAGCCCAGCTTCGTCAGTAAAATGGAAACAACATCACTTACTTCGCAAGGCTTTTGAAGAAACTAAATGAGAAAGGTGGAAAGTGTTAGGCACAATTCCTGACACGTGGTAACTTCAACAGCCATTACCTGTTAACTTCATTACTGATGAGCAAGACCGGGGCTAGGGAGAAAGGTGCCAAGCAAACCTTCAAACTACGCTCAGGTCTAGGTGCTGCGGAGATTGGGAGTAGTGGCTTACTTAAGGATACACCTAACCTCCCGGGAGCCACTCACCTGGTGGTTCCAGATAGAGCCCTCTTTGCTGCGCTCATCAGGGGTCAAACGCACGTACTGGCTTGTGAGGATAGTGCTGCCTTGGAAATCCCAGAGGGGCATGGAGCTGGAACCGACCCCTGTGGGCAGAGACCGGCAGACAGGTGCGTAAGAGGCCATTCCAGGACTGGCCTTGCCAACGGCAGGAAACCCACAGAGCTGCTTTGCTCGGGAGAAAGACAACTCACATGTCCAACCCTGTCCAGCCTCGCCCTCACCCTGCATTCATTCCCGCCCCAGGCCTCACCTTGGTAGGGCTTGATAAGCGAATGCTCCCGCTTGAGGTGTTCACTGTTGCCGTCTGTTATATCCGCAACAACCGGCCCCAGCAACAGGAGAAGAAGCAGAGGTGTAGTGGGGCCAGGGCCGGGACCGGGAAGCCCAGGCCTCCCCGGGCACCGCCGGCCCCAGCCCCAGCGCCAAATCGAGCCTTCCGCCGCCATTCTCCGTTCCACTCGGACACTTCCGCCCTAGGACTTCCGCCTTCCGGGTGTCCTATTTAATGGCCTCCGGCCGGAAACCCTCCAAACCTAGTGTCACCGGAAAGTTAAAAAAGCAAAGCCTCGCAGCCGGAGGCAAGGTGGCTTTATTTACCCACCAACCCCCCAGTCTAGTCAAGTAGTGTTCCATCTCCTTAGCGGCTCCAAGGAACCTGTCGGCCAGCCTCAGCAATGGGTTCTTATGAGCGACAAGAGCCGCAACCAATCATGGAACAGCACGTTAAGCTTGTGGGCCAATGAGGAACAGAGAGATGGTTTGAGTCGGGGGCAGCGCGAGGGTCCTCTGCGAAGCGAGGCATGCTGGGACTTGTAGTTTTTTGGGCCTTTCGCGCAGGTTGGACAGACGAATACTATTAACTATACTGTTCACCGGCCGGTGATCGCGTCTCTAGAGTAACGTTTCCCAGTCCCGAGCGAAAGAGCTCAGAGTTGAAGGCGGATGCCTGAACTCCAACTCCTGTGCTCCCTCAGACTCACTGGGTGGCTCTGGCTAGCTTCCCTTTAGCCGTCCTGGCTCCATCTCTGGCCAGCATCATGCCTTTGGAGAAGTAAAGGGTGTACGCAGCCCCAGCTCCTCATGCCCAGTCGAGTTTAAGCAATAGGAGCAGACCGGAATCCTGTCCCGGGACCCCAGTGACAATATGCGACCCATCTGGATACAAACCATCTCAGTGCCCATCTTCTGTAGCTGGAAGCAATCCTAAAAGGTTGAGGAAAGCTGGCTTAAGACCAGAGGTCAAAAACTGCTGGCTCTGTTTTACTGGCTCATGCTATTTCAATACATGATTTAAATATCAATATTTTTGTTTTGGTTTTTGTGGGATTTTGGGGGATGAGGAAGAGAGGGAGAGAATGTGAGTGGGGGAGGGGCAGAGAACGAGAGAGAATCTTAAGCAGGCTCCACACCCAACATGGAGCCCAACTCCCAGCTCTATGACCTTGGGATCTTGACCTAAGCCAAAATCAAGAGTCCGACACCCAACCAACTGAGTACCCGAGTACCCCTCAATATTTTTAACTTGAGAGACTTAGATCCACATTAGAAATGCAAATTGCTGGGGTTTTGTTTTTTTTTTTTTTTCAGGAAAATCTGAAGATCCCACCACACTAGGCCCATGAAGCCCCACAAAGGCTTTCCTCTGATGAGCTAGCCTCCCCACTGACTACTAATTTATAGCACCTCTGGCCCCTCTAGACATTTGAATTAATGACCACTATTTCAGATCAGAGGGGCACTGGGGATCACTTGTTGGTTGCTCCTTTATTTAAAGAAGCTGCCCCTCACAGCACCTGGGTGGCACTTGGGTGGCTCACTCGGTTAAGCAGCTGACTCCTGGTTAATAGAGAAGCTGCTCATTGGAATGAATGAATTTATCAGGGTTAAGTGCTGAGACGTCTTTTCTGGATCACATATTTTTAATAAGCCTATTAAAGTAACACACTCACATATGTAGTACAGATAAATAATCCAACAAAAGTCCCCTGCCACTCCCCTCCCTAAGGACATTGCCTTTCAGAGGTTATCTACATCTATACAAACAGGAATCTGTATATTCCACTAGACCGCTAGGAAGGGTGGGATTTTTATCGGTTATGGTCACTTCTGCATCCCCAGCAACTACAACAGTGCTTGGCACTGTTTAGAACAAACAATATTTGCTTTAAAACAGATCTGGGTTTTAAAGAAGAATGAGTAGGAGTTTACCAGTTTACCAGCAAGGGGAAAGGCATTCTCAGCAGACGGAACAGGAGAGGCAAAGGCCCAGAGGGATGCCCGGAAACATATGGGATGAAAGCAGTTCAGAATGGCTGAGGAGAGGTGAAGGAGGATGTAGCTAAGGCCACAACTTGAAGGGCCTTCAATTTCCCAGCTAAGGAACATGGCCTTTTTCCAGAAAGTACTGGGATGGTTTTAAGCATGAGAGTGGTCAACATGGTTTTCTCCGGCTATGGGGAGGAGAAAAGATTGGCAGGGCATAGCAGATGAGGAGACTGAGTAGAAGGTCATTACGACCAAATGAGAGACAACAAGGCCTGAGCCCAGGAAATCTCCAGAAGGAAGGGGGATCAGCTTTCGGTAATTGAGCCACTGTGGGAAACCAAGGAGAGAGAAGCTGAAAACAATGTTCTGTGGGCTGGAGGTACCCCACAGCTCTTGTGGAGTGGAGAAAATTAGATAAGGACTAAGAGGTAGGAAGTTCTGAGTTGGCTGGGGTCCCTGGGGTAAAGATGTGGTCAAAGGGAAAACTGGCATCCATAGGGCAGAGGTGGGGAGAGGAGAGGATGACCTTAGCAGGGGTCAGAGGCTGTAAATGGGCCTTTTCAGGGAGGAAGATGAGGTCTTGGCACCTGTGCTTGTGATGGCCCAGGCCCAGCTCCTGGCACCCAGGCACACATATTCACAACTTAACAGCCTCTGACTTGATGTGTAACCTTGGGGAACTCACTTGTCTCCAAGTCTGTTTCCTGATCTATTTAAAATGGAAATAATGAGCACCACTCACAAAGAGGTTGTGAGGATCAAATGAAGTTAGGAGAAGCCCCTGTAAGTGGTAATGCCTTCTATGAAGCCCAGGCCCAGATCCATGGCCCAGCAGACAGACAAGCTGTCTCCACTGACATCATACACCCTATAAAACCTTCACAGGCACACTGACATTGTCATGCACCTTATTAAGACCACTACTGGTAATGCTCTAGGCTCCAAATCAACCCCCAATATGCATACCAAGTCTGACTGAATCCCTCTATCTGGATAGCCTCAAGCAAGGTGTCTGGAAAGAGGTGATCAGCGCTGGGTGAAGAGATATATAAAGTAAGGTAACACTAACTGCTATCAAAAATAGACTGTAATGTGTATAACGGCACAAAGTTTATTCCTCATTCACATAACAGTGCAAAGCTAGTGTTCCTGGTTAATGGGTAGCTTACCTTTGTGACCGAATACTAAGACCATCTCCTTTCTTCTGTGGCTCCACAATCCCTTAAGGCCTCATCATCTTCTGCATCCAGCCAAGTTACAGGGGAAAGAAAGAATGTGGAGGGCACACACTACTTAAAAGTCTTGGCCCAGAAATGGCACACATCATTTCACTCACATTTAATGGGTGGGACTAGTCACATGGCCACACCTGACTGCAAATGAGCCTGGGAATATAAAGTTTAACCATGTGCCCAGGAGGAAGAGGACATGAATTCGTGGTGAAGAGTCAGTCACTTTCTGCACTGAAGGATTCAGGTCACAGCCCTAGAAAGGGGCAGTAGTGTAAAGGGTAAAAAACAGTAGAGGTGGCCAAACCAGAGTGGTGGGGGACTTGAGGGCTCTAAGCCCATACTTAAGGTAAAAACACAAGTCCTGTAGTGGGTACATGCCTGTGTGAGAAAGAGGCAAACTGAGTACTCTGGCTAAAGGGCTTGAGTTCAGCTGGCACTGGATCAGGGCTGGGAGGACAGGATGTCACCCTTCAGCCAACAGTACTACACCCAGGTGGAACTTTTATGTGGGTGAAAATGAGTACACACATATCACACACAGATGCAACTAATCCAATCCCCTTCCTGGGTGGGTAAGCATGTGCATACCTGCTTGCACACGTCACTGGGGTGGCTGAGTACTTAGACACCTATATGCAGTTGTGCCTCTGTCCAAGGGACTATCCATACACCCAGGTGTTTCTGATGAAGGGAGAGTGTGTGTTTATAACAGGCACACCCGGGTGGTCTGTGTGTGTATGACCACACATGCAAGGTATCCTTCTGTCTGTACACACGGGCACATGCCTGGGAAGTATCTGGGGATAGAGATAGTAACTCTGCATGTGCACAACTGCCTGGGGGAGGGGTATTGAGTATGCACATGCCCGGCACACAGCAGTGTGAGGTAAGTGTGCCCTGAGTAAAGTACCTGTGTGTATACTTGGTGCATATGTACACATGACCACAGAAGCCCCTGTCAGGGTGCAAAAAGGTGACTAAGTGTATGAGCACACACTTCTGTGTGCCCAGACATGAACTTGGAGCTCCCTGGGCTGGGCTAGACCAGAATGGGCTATTTCCTGGACACATAGAGGCCTCTGGCTATGTGTTGGTGACTGTGTGGGGCACTGCTAAGGGTGCATTGTGGCATGTGTGTGTGCATGTGAACGTGTGTGTGTGTGTGTGTGTGTGTGTGTGTGTGTGTAGGAAGAGGCGTTCGCTCACTTAGACCTTGCTTCTTTCTGTGGTTCGGTTTCTATAGAGACACTTCCTGTGGCAGAGAAAAGAGGTAGTGAGCTGGTGTTTCAGGATGTGAGGGCCCGCAGGAGCAGAGTCAGGCTCTCTCTGTTGCCTGCCTGCCACCGTGCAAGCTCTGGCCGGGGCTGCCCACAGTCCTCATGGTGGCCACTCCTCACGGCAGGGACCCTTGAACAGCAGCGGCATGCCGGGGAAGCCCAAGCACCTGGGCGTCCCCAACGGGCGCATGGTGAGTATGGACTCCAGGCCAGGCCTGTGGGGAGGGGGTGGGCACACCCAGGGTGGAGCCCAGGAGGCACGCCCGGCAGGGCTGGGCAAGAGCCTGCATGCTGCCAGCGGGTGGGAGAAGTTGGGTACAGACAGGAGCAGGCAGTGGGATCTGGTGCCCTTGCCGTAGGACCTTCCAGATGGCCCTGCTGGGGACCTGGGGCAACCTTGGGCATGAGAGCAGAGTACGGCGGTCATAGGCTTCTGGTACTCACTGCTTCCTTTCCTGCCGCTTTGGCACCATCCGGGCTGGGAGACCTAGGATGGCCCTTGATCCCTGCACACCCCCACAGTGACCTAGGCCCCCACATCTCATTTAGCCTCAGCCTTCCCCTCCTCATCCCATGTCCTGATGCCCAAAGTCAGGTAAGGGGCAACCTTCAGTGGGTCACTGTTCTTCAGCTAGACCTGCTCCAGAGGCTTCCTGCCAGAAACAGTAGTCTTTGGGAAGCCTGGGATGGGTCAGTAGGGTCAGGCC